CATCGAATTCTCTGTTGTACACCCTCATCGAACTTCTCAGTGAGATATTTTATCTGAGATTCATTCAGACGCGTCAGTTTTCGTTCTTTTGGCAAAGCCCATCCTCTGTCTGGTGTAATACGAATTGCATCATCATCATCAGCAGGTGTAGTCTCTTCCAATTGAAGAGAAATTATTGATCTTACTCCAATATTTTCCAGTTTCGAGTGATACATAGTCATATCCATGTCTCTCATGGAACTACGTTCTATTTGACGTCGGTGTTTCCCTGTACATAAATGTTGAGTTAAATTTCCGTATTCCGAAGCTACACATCCCTCTTCGGGACAGTCATACAGCTTACTTCTACTAGCCTGGACCGCCGGTTCGACTGTAGTTGTCGTAGTAATCGAGGAACGGTCGGACAGAGATTTACGTTCTTTAGGAACTGTGGTAATGGACGACAATTGTAGCGTAGAGGAACATGGTTGACACTGTAGATGACCTATAGCTTCGGTGTATCCAGTAATGGCCATTTAAGTAATTTACCAACGCCGACGTTCCATGCCCTATGTACTCGTATACCATCGTGTTCAAACCCGAAATTATTCAAAAATGTAATTTTTGGAAAGGTAACTTTTGTCGGTTTCGGTTTTCTAATAAGACTACATTCATACGACTGTACTCCTTTCACTCCTTCATATGAATGTATGGCCTCGACAAATTCTGCAGCATTCGTTATATTGTGCTTTTCGTTCTTACGTTTGCTTTTATGACAGCTGCGTATCGTATCGATCACATGCCGATTTTCCAGCCTGTGGATCAGAAAAATCAATACGTAATATTTTGATTTTAGTTTTTTCAGATATCATTGGTAACGACAGGATTGTACCGGCAGAAGTAGAATACTAGCAAGTATTTTTTTATTTTTAACAAAATCTACTGACTCGAGTGTACTGTCCTTGGAAATGGAACAAGTTTGAATGCAGAATAAGAAGAACGAAAAGACATATGGTATTACTGATATTTTGATATTCATCATGCATAGAATAGGAAAGATAACAACGACAAAATACCACTATATCAAAAACATTCATTTCATTTATTTTTTTTCAGAAAGGAACACGCAGTGTTGTACATAAACCAGGCTTCAAAAAAATAAGGAGTACTGTACGTCCTGTTAGACGGATTGGTCCTATTTAGTAACTTGAAAAACGGCAATCAGAGGGCCTATAAGCCACCGGCATGAGTTTAACACTCATAACCTATGTGGAATGCCTTGTACTTTCATCAGGATACTTGATTTAATATAAAAAGTGTGTTCCTATTCAAGAAAGATTGATTTTAAAAAAATGATAGTATAATTAATTACTTTGATGGTAATAATTGCAAGCAATTTTTCAATATGTTCCTGAGGT